CCAGCCATGGCTGGTTGGGGAATTCTGGGAGTTGAAGTCCACACATCTTCAAGCTGCCAAGGTTGAGAAATGCTGATCTATGCATTTAGCTGAAGGTCTGGAAGGAGATCCTAGAACTGTAAAGTCAGTTAGGAGCCCTACATGTGTAGCATTTCTGGCCCTTTAAGGCATTTGGATACCATAAAAAGAGTGTCTGCTTCCCTCTTGTGCATTCACCCCATTCCTAGACAGACTGCATGAAAAACACCTGTGGTTCTACCTTGGCACTGAATCTAAATCTGCAATTTGGGCTCAGTAGTTTTACTTTAATATCCTGTTATGTTGAAAAAACCATAAATAATATATATACAGAGCTTTTAGGGTGTTTGGGAAAAAGATAATACAAAGGCCAAATATAAGTAAGAATAAATTGATGCATTAGATGACCTTGAATCATACCAATGGGAGTGCACTAGCTGCCTTGCGCTGATGCTCCTGGGTTTTTCTCAACTGGAACAGCTCTGGGCATGCTGTTCCTCAAAACCACCTTTGCATTTATCCTGCTTTTTCTCTCCAAAGACCTGTCTCTTTCTTGTTTCTTTGCTCTGATTTTAGTTTACCGTGGACATCGACTCAGAACTGAGTGAAGAACAGCCAGCCGAGATTGAGCTGTGGGTGGTGCTGGTTGCTGTTGTGGCAGGACTTCTGCTTTTGGGCCTGATCATCTTACTGCTGTGGAAGGTGAGAAATGAAGACCTTGAATTGCGGGTAGGATAGTCCAACTTCTTCCTTCCCTCTGAACCAACCTAGGTAGAAAGGCCTTTGCAAGCTGCTGCTCCCAAGTTGCAAATAGTTCCTGTTGACCTATGCCTACACCAGTGTTTCTCAACCTTGGCAACTTGAAGACGTGTGGACTTCACGCTGCCAAAGTTGAGAAACGCTGGCCTACACGGTGCAAAGGAACAAACCCAGCCATGCAACCCAACTGATTGTAGCAAGTCTGAATGTCCTAGTGCTATAATGAAAGTGCGTATAAAATTGGTTTCTTTGATAATGAATACACTGGTATCACATGCAGGCAAGGTATTTACGCATTTGGCTGCAGCAAAACTGGCCGGGCTAGTTCCAAATGGGCAGGTGGAAAGTAACTCTGTCTTTCCAACTTTATCCAGAATGACGTAAACGGCACTGAGTCAGCTCTGCTATGTAGCCCAGGCACTTCATTTTGGAGATCAGCCAAGGAACAAAAAAAACAAAAAAGCCACAGCTGAGTGTTTGATTTGCTCTTTTTCACCACAAGGATTCTGGCTAGATGGCTAAGAAACTATATTTAGATCCTAATTAGTGCAGGAATTGGGCGAATGCTTGGGACTCCATGGGTACAGATGCCTTAGGATAACATAATATCAGTCACTGCATTGCAGTTATGCCCCTCTGCTCAGTGACTCATTGGGATTTCTTGAGCACACTGTTCCACTACTGAGGGACAGATGGAGCATTCTGCATAATGTACATTACTGAAGCTTTATGGAAATCCCTGCCTGGTCCCTATTTCTGGAAACCATCATGGGACCAGAGAGTCTCAAGTATTCAGAAGCTCTGAGATGGTTGTGACTGGGATACATTTCCAAAACGTAATAGGCAACCTGGTGATTTTCAGTTCTTACAGTCCTTTGCCATTAGCTATGTCATTGGAACATGGGAATTGAAGTCCAGAACATAGGGAAGGTATCAGGTTGCTTGTTCCTTGCTTAGCTCCATGGTTTTGGCTGAGGAAAATTTATCTCTGAATTGGAACCATCATAACTGACTATTGGGGTTTTGCAAAGCTTTGAAGGGGTGTGTTCTTAGACAGTACTTTGAACAAGGTATCCTTTCAAAGTGGCTTCAGGAGGCAAAGTGGCCTCCACTTCTAACGAGCAAGCATTTGCAGACTTCCTTCTGGCTCTTCCAGTGAGCTGTTGCTAGTGCCGGAGAGAGCCCTGAAGAAACACAGAGTGCCAAACCATGCCAGTTGCATCACTGCTATACTTCAATAGGCTTAACAGCATCTTGGTATGAAGCACCTTGACAAATCCCTAAGGGTAATGGACCTTTGGAGCTCCATTTTGGGGCACGCCTGAAATTGCTAATTCATTTTCTATGAATTATGCTTGAAGCTGTTGCCATGGGACAATAGCCTCATGAAAACCTCAGACAGGCCAAAACTGCAGTAGAAATACATAGAAGGTTTATACTTTTAAGGGGCTCATTCCATCTGACCTCCAAACCAGCCTCATACAGTGCCTGGAGTGAAACAATGAAACAAGCCTTCTCGAGCACACACACTCAAGGTGATCTTCGTTGGACCGTGTGGCTGGATACTTGTTTTGTGCTTTTTATTTCCTACCCCTGACCTTTGCCCCCTGCTTCCTCATAGTGTGGCTTCTTCCGGCGGGCAAGCACACGAGCCTTGTATGAAGCCAAGGGCCAGAAAGCCATGATGAAGATCCAGCCTTCTGAAACTAAGCGGCTGACCGACAGCTACTAGTTCCTGTCTCAGGGGGGGACTCTGCCCACCCCTTTGCCCTGTATCTTGGTAAATCAATGGGTGGGTGGGTGGGTGGATGGATGGATGGATGGGTGGGGCAGGATCTGCCTTTCATTCCCTGTCGCTCTCAGTCCCTGCACTTTTGAATCTTTCCCTGCACTTCTTCATCCTTGCTCATAGATTAGTAGTCTAGTGTTGAGTTGGAGAACGTAGATCAGTTTTTCTCAACCTTGGCAACTTTAAGATGTGTGGACTTCAACATCCAGATGCTGGATGTTGAAGTCCACATATTTTAAGTTGCCAAGGTTGAGAAACACTGATGTAAAGGATGAGTATGCCAGGTGGCCAGAGGTGGTGCCTTATTTTGATGAATAGTTCATGTAGTCCAGGATTACATATAACGACTAGCAATGGCTCTCCAGGATTACAGGTAGGGAGGTACCTCATCACCTGCTACCTGCTACTTTAAAAAAAATAAAATACCGGAGATCCTAGGACTGGATCGGGGACTTTATATATGTAAAACTTGTGCTCTACCAGTGAGCGGTAGTATATTAGCAGATACTTGGATTGGTTTTGCCACCAAGAGGATGCAACACGTTTGGGTTCAGAGAACCTCTTGATTGTCATTATGCTGAAAAGTTATCAGTTGCCTTTATTAAACCCTGAAGAAACCCTGAAGAGATAAAGAACTAGGGAATGCTTTTTAAATTAGTATGTTCAAAGGTTAAGACTTATGCTAGTTTAATGCCAAAATGTCATGGCATTGAAGTCCCACATTTGTAGTGTGGTCATTGACAGGTAAGACTTTTTAGCCACTCTTTCTGTTGGCTGTATTTACGTGATCCATTTGGAAAGATCTCCCGCTACTCCTGAGTAAGCACTCTGTAGAGCAGTTGGCTGATGGTCATTGTTCTTCAGGCAGTTGGCAGTAGCCATCTTCACAGGAAGTCTAGCCAGCGTTAAAGGTGGCTCAGAGGCTGTCACTTCCTGGCATTTTTTTCCAATTTGGGGGTGAAAGTCCCATTGCAGCTTGCTTGGGTTCAGAGCCAATATAGGCAGGATGAGGAGAGTCTTACTCAACCTCATCCTCTTTTCTCCTCTTCCCCCCGCCCTCCACATATTGCAAGTGGAAGATGAGAAGTAAAAGAAATCAGACAGTGTAACATTTTTCCCGGGCCACTTATTTTAGTGTTGACCACAGGAGAAGATGATTAACACTCTGTTAATCCCTTTTACCATGTTCCACAACATGGCTGTCTGGAGAAGGTCAGAGTAGCCCCAAACAGCCTCAAGTCTGCTTTGAGTTAAAACTAATCCACTCTAACTGTACCCTAACATGATTTACCTGGGTTGCAAAGTATCCTAATCTTATCCTTAGCCCAGCTAAGCATGTTGTGCAAATATAGCCATTGTGAAGTTTGATCTGGAGATTCGGCTCTAATCTAGCAAGACAGTATGGGTGTTCAGGCTTCAGAGGTGGATTTAGATGTGAAAGAGTCTGTTTGATCAGCCTCTGTGCTTGGACACAAGCACTAGAAGCCTTTGTTTTTTGCCTTTCATTGGTCAACAAAGGAGTGCCTTTCTGCCTGCTCCTCTCAGGCTGCCAAACTTAAGGATACTAAACTGAAGAATCTGAGTTTAGGTGATCTGACACCTCCCCATCTCTTTATTAGAAGCTCTTTCCACTGAGACACCATATTCTAAAAATTAGCCTGTCCATTTTACATAGCAGCCATGCAGCATCTCTGTTTTCAGTTATTGTCAAAGCAGACCCCCTTCAACTTATTTCACACTCTCCACTAGATTTAGAGCCATCTGTCAGCTTCTCTGTTTAGCTGTTTGCATTACTAACTCAAACTTCTTTTCCTAGGATTTAATACCAGGTATTTTGGGGGTGGCTTTCAAGGTGGCACTTTAAATGATGACCTGTATCTTTCCTTTTTCTTTTGACTCTGTTTTCTTTCCACTTCCTGGGCCAGTACAGATGACCATGGTTGGGATGGCCAAGCCAGCACAGGCAAACTATTACTGGTAAAGTGGTCAGCCCTGTTGAAATACACTGCGGCAGACTGGGGAAACCTACCTGTGAACATAATTTCATGCAAGTGGAAAAAAGAGGGGAGAAGAAGAGGGGAAGTGATGTGGCAAAAAAGAAAGAGAAAAAAGCTATGCCCTGTCCATTTTTTTTTTAATCCTGTTCTATTTGGACTTCAGTCTTGCCTTCTAACCATTTACAGATTACTCCTGAAGGACTTTAGCCTTCAACAGAAAAATATTGAGAGCTGAGAGACTGTCACTTCCTGGCATTTTGGTGCTAGTCACAATCGCTCTGAATATGACTCTGGTAGCTCATGAAACATTAGGATTTTTCATCATTGTGTTTCCAATGCCAAGGTATAGGATAGATAAAGTCCTGATAGTTGAACCATTTAATCTAATCTTGCTTCAGTGTGTCTCCAGTAAGTCATTATGAAGATGTTTCTGAGCAGAAACAGCTGCCACAAAATGTGAAGCAGAGGAGGTCTCCATCCTAGATGGTTGCTGAGAATGTGGATGATTGAAGATATAGAAAGGGCCGCAAAGCAGGGATAGTAATTGTTCTGTGTTCTGTAGATGAGCTAAACCAGTGTTTCTCAACTTTGGCAGCTTTCAGATGGGTGGACTCCAACTCCCAGAATTCCCCAGTTAGCCATGCTGGCTGGGGGGGTCTGGGGGGTGGGGTCCACCCATCTGAAAGCTGC